CTCCCAGCACAGCAAGTGTTATAGAGCTGCCTTGCAAAAGAACTCTCCTGGGTGTTCTCGTTCCACCTTAAAAGTTATTTTTTGTTCCGCCCCCTATGAATGTTTGCCACTTCATATAACTTACTGCCTTGAGGCTGACAGGAGAGGTAAAATTCTTCACCCTAGAGTGCAGGAAAAGAAGCAAGGGGCTGAAAGACATTAGAAAAAACCATTTCAAACAGTAAATTTAAGTAAACTATTAATGAAAACCTGTTTATTCTAACTTATTGGAAGCCTGAAAAAGCATTTAAAACAGCATCTGTTAAGAATGGCATCAGTGTAAGGAATCTGCTAGATGGGCCAGATGACCTCTAAAGGCCCTCTCTAGACCTGTTTTTTTGTGATCTTGCAATGGAGAGGAGCAAAAACCAGATTAAGCAATCTCTAAGAGAACTTCAAGAGCACCTGAGAAGCCTCTAATCTATCTTCCAGTTTATCTTGTTCTTCTCTTTAAGCGAGGAATGTTAATTAAAATATCATAAGGAATTTGGACAGCAATTATAAACCTTTACAATAGCCATCCTCAAGCACTTAATGAAAACAACATTTCATATTTTACATTGTGCTTTGCATTTTTCATGGATGAAAGCACTTCTTAGATTATGTTTTCTTTTCGGCATGCACCATATTTACTCTTTATATTCAATAGCTAAAAGTGTTTGATTACAGTCACATGCCTAGTAGGTTTACAGTAGGGAAGTGGAACAGCCTCTTTATCCACTCTGACAGGAAAATTTAGGGGCTACCCAGAAGCCAATACCGTACATAATTTCAAGCTCACAGAACAAGGCTCACAAAAATTGCTTTTGCCACACCACGTACAGCAAAAGACCCCTCTGCTCTCCACTGGTCCCCATCAGCAGGGCTGTCGCTGGGAAGAAGCCTCCCCTGATGCAAATCCCTAAGGGGTCACTTTCAGGGACTAGGGTTCTGGCATGAGTAACAACCCAGGAAGCTGAAAAAAATTTTTGTCTATACACAGGTGTTAGTTTTCCTACTTGGAATGATAAAAACAGTATTACTGTGCTGGGATTTGAACATCAAGTTGCTGGGTAGCAGACAGTGGAAGTCACGTCCAGATCTCAAAACAGTATGATGCTGAAAGGAAGCTATTGCTACAAAGCTTATGAAGGGTCTCCAGAATAAAAAATAAAAAAAATTAAAAAAAACAGAAGAGAGGTATTATTTCCCTTTCTCTTCCTTTCCTTTTCCTTCCCTTTATCTTCCTTTAAAAATATTTCAATATGCAAAAAATATCCCTTGTTTTTACTGAATATTACTGCTCCTAAACACAGATTCAATTTTCAGAGCATATCTTGCCAAGAAGAGAGGAAAGTACTTTGTCAAACAGAGCATATTCATCTTATCTGAAAGGGAAAATTGCTAGGAAAAACTTGATGGAGAAAACAACTTTTCCCTCCCCTTTCCTGCTCCCTTCCCCTGCAATAAAATAATCACACAGTGCAAAGAACTAACTACTGCAAACAATAATTTTAAAAATTCACATTTTCTCCACCCCCTCCCCCAAAATACGTAAAACATGTCTTCCTGTTTGCTTTCCTTGTACAGGCAGAGATACTGATGCAATCTCTCCTCTCTGAAAAAGGAAACGCCTCTATCTTAGTCTGCATCTTTATCCCTCTCAGCAGCTTGACTAAGCAGATTAAAAGAAAAGACAAGTGCACACTGAAGCAGCATTAAAGCCACAACAAAAAACAACCACCAGTTAAACGGGAAAGGGAAGCAGTGTCTGCTGCAATTGCTTAAAAACTGTAACAGGCAGGGAGAAAGCAAACAGACCAGCTACGCTGCAGGCAGGCATCTTCCAGCCCCGACAAGGATGCTGTAAGTTGTGCAAAGGATCCAGCACCATCTCCAACCTGTCTTTGGTCTCCCTGGGCTTCACGGGAAGACTGAAAGATGACGGCTTCTCCCTAGCACCCTGTCACCCCCACTTTCATTCCTTCCCCCTGGCATTCCCCACCCCAAAAAAAGAACAGCTGCTGGCTTTTTCCATCACACCTACTGCCAAGGTGAATCTGAAACATGGCAATTGAAAGCCCTTGCAAAGCGCAATAAACGAAAGCAGGAACATGCTATTTGTATTTGGGGACGAAAGGAAACTATTCAGATAATTAAAATATTCTACAAACAAGAGCAAGCAAGAAAGGAAACGAAGAGCATTATTATCATACTGAGAAAGTGCATTTTTAAATGAAAAACAGTCAATATTAATTCTTGCCATACGTAACATTTTAGAACTGTATTTGTATAAACTACTATTCTCAGCTATTATCACACAGAACTACACAGGCAGTTAAAGAAGAAAAAACACAACATTTCTTGATAATTCTCTTGCTAGCCAGCCACCCTGATAATTCGGGAGATGTTCAACTCTGCCTGCAAAATAACCAGTAAGATAGTGCACAAAAAGACAGAAGAATTTTGTTGCTCATTTTTTATGAAAATGTTGTTGGTTATTTTTTACGAAATAAGAACAGGTATACAAGACTACAAAAAATAAAAGACGATGTTACAGAAAAACCACGAAAGAGAAGAATGCTGCATTATGGTGAGTTGTTGTTGTTAAAGGAAGGCAAAACAATGTTTCAAAATTAATGTCCTATAGCTTGTCTCCTCCAGAGCAGATGTGGGGACCCAAAACTTCACATGAACAAGGAAACAGATGAGTAGCAATAGCTCCTGTCAGAAATGCGCTTAGCACACATTGAAAAGCAGTGGAAAAGAATTGATCAACCAATAGGGTATATAATTCACTTATCATGTAAATACTACCCATAATTTGTCACGTACAGTTGTTAAATTTAACTATTTCCTCAAATTTCTTCAAACAAGAAAATTACAAAGGTTCCCTGCAGTCTACAAATCTAAACACAATTTCCAGTTAAAGGCCACAGTAGCCACTTCAAAAAATGATCACCAGTTTGTGCATCAGCTTTAGCAGACTGAATATTTAAGAGGTGCTGAATGAATATTCACAGGTGTGCTGAAGTAACAACCTCAGTATCACAGGCCACAGTTGAAAATATAGCTTATCTACAAGTATTGCCTTAAAAACTTCTCTGACTTTTAAGGACACACACAGAGAGCACCATGGTAAAGACTTCAGCTTCATAAAAGTTATTTTTAGGTCTGTAATTCAGAAGAAGTACTTTATAAGTACAAAGAAGTCAGATTTAAGGTTGCAGTAAACCAGACTACTGGGGGAAGTTTACATTGCTGCTACCTTTGCCAATGCTTTGAATGATACTTGAAAACAAAAAGGAATTAGGAGGTACAGCACTTCGATTACCAACTGCATAAACTGCCGCGCTGAGCTCCCCACAGCACAACTCCTCAGTGACAGGATCACCCTTCCCTTTTCTGCAACAAGTCCAGCATTGCCTAAAAATATTTTACACCAGGGTTTGCAATACTGTGCTTCCAGCAGCATTTGTGAGAGTCATCTTCGTTCAATCTGCTCAAAGCAGAACCCAGTTTTTACAGGACATGAAGAAATTCAGGACATGAGAGAAATTAATCCATGACACAAGGTGGACTGTCACAGAAACGGTTAATGTCTTGCTTTGCAGTGTCTAAATACTCATTTTTTTCACATTGAACCCCCCAAATTTGAGGCTAAAAGGCATGCTGGAAGTTCCCAAGCCCACATCATTAAGTTTACTGGAACCCAGTGCGTTAGCTGATTACATGCACTGTGAACAGTGGAAATGTTTTACAGGGGAGCAGAAGGTGAGAAGCACTGAGCATATCTGCTAACCTAGTGGGGACAACTTTATGGCTTTTATAAGCCTCACAGTATCTCATGTCTTCCCAAAATCTTAACTCTTGGGAAACTGAAAATCTCAGCTTGCTTTTGGAGCCAAGCAGTAGTTTCAGAAACACTCGGCACAAACCAGTTCTGCCAACAAATGAAGCAGCTCTGCCTTCTCGCCCCACTCCCCGGCTCATTCCTCCTTCCCTCCCTTTCTGTGGGTGCAAGCCCTGAAGTGAATCACATTTAGGAGCAGACCCATTTTAGCTTTTTGCTGTGCTGAATCTACCTGCATTGTGCATTCCTGCCCCAATCCACTTTACCTGGAGCTGAACAAACACTCGCCCCAGCACAGAGGAATGCAGAGGGTACAAACCACGTAGGCTTCTTTCAGCAGCTCTACTGGCTTAAAAATGATTCATGAAATTATGGCCTATATTTCCAGATAGAGAAAAGTTTGAGGACTTCTCCCTGTTTCACCCTAAAGGCAAATACCATTTGGGAGACAATACTTTCCCTCTTCAATTTTACTGAGGCGTGACTCCAGATATTTCAGCACTAGGCTTAACATAGGGGAACATCACTGGTTCCAGGCACTGCAGTAGTACAAACACCACCAACTGGGGCAAAGAGCCTGGTCCCATACCCAAAGCAGGCTACAGGGGGTTTGCTCTCAACTTCACCAAGAATTTGATTCAAACAGTAGAGAACTGAACTGAAAGATGCCTGGGGTACACACGCGTATCAAAACCCCATCTTCATACGCAGCATGTACCACATGTCAATCCACATTCCCATTGCATCGGCACTGGTCAGGCACTTCAGAACTTCTGTGTAAATATCAAATGCTGCAGCTCTCTGCCAAAGCAAACTTGCACACAAATGTAATTTAAAGTTTTGAGAGTTTTTTGTAATAATTTTAGAAATCATACTACTGTGTGCAGCTCTTTGTCCCAGATGCCGGTCACCTACGTACAGCGGTTGTGAGCATGATACTGTCTTCAAACCAACAGATCTGTTCCACTAACTCAATAGCAGAGACCTATACTTCTGGATCCTGATGCAGAACAGACATTTGAAGCATCAGAACCCTCTCACCAATATGGAAATCACGTGTGATAACTCTTATTTACTGTATAATATAGACAACAAGGAGAAAGCTGCATAGCGAGGCATTTGCACTTACGTGGTTTATATAGAGACTCTTGCGTTTTTCTCTCACTGCAAAAACACAAAATATGATAGAAATATTACATGACTATTTTTCCCGATTAAGCTTCTTATATACCATTTATAACAAAAAGAAGAACAGGAGGCTATCTATGTGCAACATCATAATTGCTTTTGAACTAACCAAGTATATTTATATATCAAACAGAAGGAACATATATCTGTACGCATAAAGGCATTTATGCTCACTAGGGTGGCGATGGATTAACATTCTCATCCAGTTGGGTACTTCACCAGGCGTTGGTCCGCATGGGAAAGTTAATATGCAGTAAGCCACAGTCCAAGTTAGCAATGGATCAGCCATCCTTCACCAGTTCTCTGTGTGGGTACTCCTGAGCCACCAGTGCCTTCGTGGAGGCACCTTCCTGCAGAGGTGCCTACACTGCCCTGCAGGTGGGAAAGCACCTGAAGAGCTACACCACGGAGTTAGCAAATTCTCATCACAGCTTACTGTGCACCAACTCCCAGAGAGCAGCCTCAAAACCATGTGCATTACACACCACTGCCTTCTGCAATGACCAGGTGCAAGCCTGGAACTATTACTCATGTCAGATATAACAAGGAAAATATTTTACTTTGGTGAGTATGAACCAGTCACCACAAGCAAGGCTTGCAAGTCAAACCACTATTAGCCAAAATATTCAGAAAGTAAACAGCAACAACAAGGGAGATAGATGTATAGAGTTGTAATTGTCAGGCAGATGTTTATTACAGCTGATTAAATATACTCTATTTAATTTTTTTAAGCACTTTCCCAATTAACTCACCCCATAGAGAGCCTGTGGAGCTCTCTGTTCCAGTGAAAATACCACAGCATTTAGGATACAAGTCTGGAGGCAGCTAACACATAAATCAAACTGCAGGATTAAAATAATAATGGTTTCATGCTGTAAGTGATTAAATGCACTTTGGTGCATCATGATTTAAAAGCTATGCAACCCAATGCACTTAGCAAAATAAGAGTGTACATAATGGTGGGATAGCCTGTCCATTCCCTGTTGGATGAGAAGCCATTATTTGTGATTTTTTATAAGCAAGCAATCTCACATAAACAAAGCTGTATGTGTGAATACTGTGAAATAATTGTGTTTAATGCAGACATAAAATGAAAAGAAAATAAGAAAAAAAACTTTAAAAAATCCTTACATAATTTTCCTCCCAGGGAGCAGAAAGGAGAATCACACATGACAGATGTTAGCCATGTCACTTAGAACATGCTCAGATCCACAATTACGGACATTGTAAACAGAATTAAACAGGAACAGCAGGAAAACTCTGATCATCTAGTAAATAGTTAAACTGCTTGAAATCCTGCTAAAACACTGCACTACACTTAAGTTCCACACACTGCATTTAGCACCAGTAAGGGACATAAGAAATCTGAAGGGAAACAACAAAATGATGGTAGATACTAATTTCTAAGAATAGTTGAAGTATTTGTCTAGCATTGCATATTGCAATGTACAGGCAGTAAACAATTCTGATAAGCTGCATGTAAACCTAATAAGAGTACATAACTGAAAATTAACACCCATTAACTGTGAAATTTTGAACACAATTAAGTATTTAGCAGTGTTTTAATCACAAACAATTATACCACATACAAAGTTCTTATGGGTAAAATCCCATAAAGACAGCCTGTACATACATTCCACATTCCATTTTAATCACCATTTTTCCCCTACCTTAGTTTTTCTGTTCTGTATCCATTATTCAACTCCCCATGAAAGTACAATAATCAATTTACCAAAGCAAGAGTAACACTCACAGCTCATGCCCATTTGCTGCTTCCATTCCCAGAAGAATATATTTGTGCATTTATTTACATGTCATGTATTTAGACACACCCTTCACTCCTCCCTGCTCAAGCTGCGCATTATTCCAAACACCACATTGACCTCTTTTTCCTTCTTTTCCCCATGTAACAGAAATTCAGTCAGTCTGAATTCTCTAGTGATGGACTCCACGAAGGCAACTGTGCTTTTGTCCTCCTGGGCCAGTGTAAGGCTCAGCTCTTTCCAGAATACATGCCAATTGGGAATCAGGCATAGCAGAATCCCATTTTGCCATAACCACTCTCTTTTGTGATCACAACCCTCCCTTTAAACAAGGGAAAGCCAATTATTGCACAAGGCAAAAGGCTACTTCTGCCAAGCTAAAACGACTGTAAAGCGGTAATTTCATCACTTGGCTTCAGTCAGTTTAACAACACTTTGCACTTCTCACACAGCACAGTACAGTCTTCAGCAGACCAGACCATATTATAACATATAATTAATTATATAATATAATTTCGTAGCATTAACTCCTAACTGCAACTCCAGGCTTTTGGCTTTCAACCATGGGGTTTTGAGGAAATGAAGCTGAACAGATTTAGAGCCAGTTTAAACAATTAAACTTCTACTTTCTTTCTAATATTTTAAAACCTGAAAGTTGGAATGGAACTCCTCAACTGGAGACTGAGATGCTGCCAAATTGTCTAAGTTTTCCTCATTTTAAGGTCAATGACATGTTCCTATTTCTGCAGGCACTTTCAACTCTTATTGTTGAACCTTTGCAGTAGTAGGAAAATATTTAATCCTGAAAAAAAAAGGGAGTGAGGAAATACACATACACATACATATGTATGTGTGTGTGTTTGTGTGTATGTATGTATGTATTTTTCAGTGAGCTATAATAGAAACTTTCTCTGTACAATGTCTATAGACTATCTTAATGTTACCCATATCAGGATCAAAGACAAAATCCTTGAGGATTACATCAGTAAAAATGTCTCATATTTGGGGAGTTTTAAAATCTTTTTTTTGTTTTATCTGAGATAGGAGACTGGTCTTGGTTAATATTAAAGAGTAAGTACAGCTTCCTTCACTTCTGTCCACTGAATAAATACAATTTCAAACCCTTCTTTGTCTGAAGCCCATCATTGTACTGATAATGTAAAATTCAGCCAGCACATTGGATGTGTAAAGCCTAACGCAAGTCAGGAGAGGTGGGCAGCTGTAACCCACTTACAGAAAAGACTGTTACCAGCGCCCTGAAGTAGCAACCATTTTCCTCTTGCTGTTTTTAAGGAAAGGAAGTTACATTACTGGTATGCTAAGGTTTGGAAACCCTGGTTTAATCCCAACCACACACTAAATAGTGCATGGCTTTTCAGTCACCTAGACCATCCTGCTTACAGCCCAAATTCAGCAACAAGGGAGAACTTGCATAAGGCACTCACAGAAGTTAAAGAGATAAAAGGTAATATTCTTTACTAGCTCCCTAAGCAGAGAGAATTACTCATGTAAGATTCAGCACCTAGAAAGTTCCCACAAAGTGTTGGAAAGATTTAGAAAAGCTACTTTAGTTAGGAATCGAATTAATATTTGTTATGTCTTCAACTTCTCTACATTGAACTCTCAGGTAATTAAAGATTCATTCAGAACACCAACTAAGAGGGAGAGGACCAGTTTAGATGCTTAGTATGGCATCCAAGCTTCACAAAACAATGGGAAATTCAGACATATAATATCCAGAGATGTCACATCCTGTCTCATTAGGTTTGAGGTAGCCAGCTTGTTGCTCTTCACTCATGTGTTGATCACAAGCAGCTCAAGCACAGCTCCTACACCAGGACAGTCCTACAAGATTACCAGTACCAGTGGGACTGAAAGAGTACAGGGCTACTAGAAAGTCAAACATGGAACTGCCTGAAGGTAACATTGCCAAGTCCCTCTACCACATAGTGATGGGCTTGGCCATTTCCCACTGTACAAACACGTGATGTACACTCAAGAGTCACAGCCAGATCTTGGACAAAATCTTGAGTCATGAAGCCCCTCAGCTCTCCAGTACAGGTATTTTAAATGTCTGCAGGTCTTACCTATAGAAATATTTTTGCTTACAGTCAACAGGAAGATTTGCCAGCCCAAAACTAGGCAAGTGATGGAGAGACATAGTTACATGCCCAAGTTAGATGTTTTCAACATTGCCAGCTCAGCTCTCCCCTTCTACATTGTCTTAAGAAGTCTTGGGGGTGCCTAGGCTTCGCAGCAGGCTGTCAGAATACAACCCTACAACACCCTAGAAAACCCATATATTTTTCCCTTAAAAAGCATTTTATTGCATTTTGGTGTTAGGCAATATCCTTGAATAGTGTGCTCACTTGGTTCCACAACGGGCCCAAAGTACAGCCAAGCGAAATGCTTACTTCTGTGAGCTATCCCATCAGAACAGGATGGTTATTGGCAATATATCAGTAGATAAACGTTTGCAGAATCTTTATTCTTTTGTACAAGCAAAATAGCCTTTGGATTTTTTCCACCATGATCAAGGATAGCTCAACAGATCTTACACTCCCGTTGATAACACTTCTATGTTGTTTCACTAAATTAATTGTTCTCACTCAAAAATATGTTCTTCGTATTACGTAAACTAGAACAAAGTTTCATAGACCAACTCTAGCATTGGTGTAAACTGTCATTTTTAAAAATGCTTACAATTAACTCCATACTGCAATAAATTAACCACTATTACTGAAAGTCAGACTAATCATCAGGTCAAAATTTTAGTTGTTGGACTTGGAATTTTTTTTGTACTTTCTTTCAACAAGCTGTAACAAGAAAGAGATAGCATCCATATGGGATTATACGGTCTCAAATCATTATAAAAACACCATAAAACAGACATCAAACTTCATAATATAATTGTACTATGGAAATATTGTCATATTTATTTTACAGACTACCAAATGGTAAATCACATCTACAACCACATAAGGAGGCACTGACAGAAGCAGGGCTGAATTCAGAAGGACAATCTGAAGGTCAAAAGAGGTACTCACATAATCAACTCCTCAATTAGGGCCTAAATGTATATCCTCTTTGTTCTAGTCATGCTCAAAAACTAGCAAAAAATATACAGTAAGTGAAAACTATATTATTTTAAAGTGATGTGCTTGACACTGCAATTTACAGTGTAAATCAAAACCGGCATTTATAGGCAGCAGAAAGAAGGACAAAGAATTCATACCGAACAGTCAGAATTACAACGTAGAAACTGCTTTGAAAGCCTTGGTAGAAAATAATGTGTTTTGCATCGATTATTCATCTACTTCTAAAACAACATGTCATACATGTCCAACAGGGAATGAAAAAGCCAGAAAAAATGGCTTCTATTCTGCTAACTCTATCAAGAGGCCTACTTAACAGAGATAATTCCAGAGGGGTGATTTTGTCTATGAATTAAAAAAATACTCCAGACAAATATATGATCATATCAAATCCATAATGAGAGAAGAGAGAATGTTTGGGTCGGATGGGGATTGTTTTATTATTAAAGTCTAGTACTGAGTTCATTTACAGTATTAGCTATATCAGAAGAAGTTCTGAACTGTCTTCTTAGCTAATGTAAACTGGCATTTTCTCAAGAAGAGAGTCCTCACACATTTCCAAGAAGCTTGTCCTAATGTTCAGAGTTTAAAAAAAAACAACACACAGAGAAAATGTTTTATTTAGGGAAAATATTTTAAAAATATAATTATATTAAGCTTTATCTATATTTGTAATTCTGATACAACAATAACTTGGAACTTCACAATTTCATGACAAGACAGGACTCAAACCTGTACCTTCTACAAAATAATTAACTAAAGGTGTGACTTTTTTCAACTCTACCATGATGCCTATAAAAGCCTCTTTTTTTGAGAGGGGAATTATATAAAAGACTATCAATCACATGCATTCTAACAAAGGGTTTAGAGATAAGTGCAATAGCAAATACTGTAATAAATTCAGTAACCTACCATCTGTTTGTGATTTACTGAGAAATATCGTACTGGCCCGTGGATGATCTGATGGGTTGAATTCCATGTTCAAATCTGGAAATAAAGAAAGAAAGAGAGAATAGCACAAAAACGTCTCTGATTATCCAATGGTATTGGACAGATTTTCTTATTCTTTTTAATAAGACCAAGTTTACATACTACACAGATTTTCTCATTCTTTTTAATAAGACCAAGTTTACATACTGAAGCAGCTATTATAAAACAAAATCCATCTTGAGGTCCACTTTTTTAACCTTCTTCACAGTTTTTGGCATGCAAATCATCTGATTCAACACAGATTTGGGATTCTTTCTAAAGGCTGCTTTTGGATTAAAACAGATAAAGCAGCCTGAAAACTTTGTACACAAGAAGTCAGGAGTTATCAATTTACCATTGGTTTCTTCCCACCATGCCCCAAAGCCATTGCTGAGCACAAGAACACAGCTTGTTATGTGTCATTATAGAAGAACTATTATAAAACGAATACACAACCATCTGTAGATAAATGGGTTTCTACGATTAGATGGGACTAAAATAAGTAGATATTGCAGCTGAATGTAAACAAATTAAGTCTAGGCCAGAGTGTTTTAAATGGTCAAGATTACAAAAACTTGGAACTCTCCTGATATTTCACAGATGAACGTATTCCTTGCTGTAAAAACTTCTAAAAAAAACCCAAAAAACCAAACCAAACCAGTCCTAAGAAACACCAGTGTAAAGACTCGAATCTATCACAGCTTATACGAACTTGCATGAATTTTATTTTCCCTATCAAGGTTAAAATCCATTGAATTTACTTGTTCCCAAATTCCACTCCACTACCAATTTGTCAAAACTCTTATATGCCTGCATCCTCTTGAGAGCAGGCTACTAAAAATATCACATCATTTTTTATTATTTTCTTGCTCTTCCAGTGTGGCTATCTCAACCTTAATTCTCTTACATTCTTTTGATCTCTAGATAGACATTCTCTTGCACTTGATGCAGGCATTTATGTGAGATTACATATGAGCACTGATATGTTTATCTTCTGTGATTATCCCAGGCTTCCTACATTTGTGTCACTCCCCTCTCATATCTCTGTGAAAGCTCAGCAAAACTGGAAATTAAACCCAAAGTCTTATGAAAACAAAACAAAGTCTTTTTGCCCAGGAGCCAAGTTCTCCTGTCTACAGCTTTCCCTGTTTCTTCACCCCCCATCACCACACTTTATTCTCCCATCCCCTTCTTTACTATGTTTTCCACTTCACTGCTTTTTTCTTCTGACCTCTCTACAAATGTACTATTTGTATTTTCCCCTTTCATGCTCTCTTGGTTTCTTTTTCCTCTCCCTGCATTCTGCAGCCCATGAGAGGACCAGCATGACATGTTGCTGGTACCTGGACATAACTTCTGAAATAAACATGATCTTATTTGCAAGTTAAAACCCAGAAACTCGGAAAAGCAACTGGAAAAGCGGGCTTACTATTACTCTCAAACCCACAAAGAAAAAAAAAATATCTAAGAATTTCAAAGGAAAGTAATTCTGATTCTCCCAGAAACCTCAGTTTGCAGCCATGCTTGGGGAAGATTCCAGGAAGGTCATCTTACTACTAGAAGTTCTGACTTGAAAGCACTGTTAATTAGGAAGAATATTTTCCTATTACTTTCTGCATAGTATTTCGGCATAGAAGAAAAAGGAATCACTCATCAAGATATAGTGCTGGTAAAGATTGTTTTCCGTTTCAGGGCAGTTTTTCCATTAAGTGGAATTCAAGATGTAATTCATTAAATAAACAGCAATCAGCATTTTAAAATGACAAAATACATTGTCTTTTATCATCCTCATCATCTTTTATCAAACGGCACAATACATCATCAACAAAAAAATGCCCTCCCCCCCCTTTTTTTTTTAAAAACCACTACAGTCAGTCTTTCTACAAATCTTTTAAAGTACAGCAATGCAAATTCAGTCAACAGAACAGGACCAGTAACATGAAACTGAACTCAACTTAAGAACACTGCCCCTGAAAAGACAAGCATTCCTTTCCTTCAGGCCCAGAAAATTATCTGCCTGGGGAGTAATAATAACCGGGTACAGGCTTACAGTCTGCTCCCTGGGCCAAAAAGAAAGGAAAACCAATTGCCACATCTTGCAGTCAAGTTGCAACTCTTTAGGGTTCCTGTGTTATAAAAGGCTATTATGCAGAAGCAGTAAACCAACAGAGCACTTAAAGTCTTTCTGAAAAAAAAAACATGAACTATTGAAAAACACTGGCTCTTGGATAAACTTCAGACAGGAGCTGAAAGAAGGCCAGCAAAATCCAGCCTCAGCAGCTGCAGAGGCCAGAGCAGGGATTGGGAACCATCCCGGGAGAGGCAGCTACCCGCTGCCAGGCAGTGCCTGGGGCTCCTTCCCACTGCTGAACCCCACAAAGCTCCACGTGTTCTCTCCACATCCCTTCTCTCACATCCTCCCCAGCAACAGCAGCCATCAAACACATCCATCCATCTTTCTCATACTGCCTGCACAAAACTCAGAGGAGGAGAACATAGGTATAAAGAGCAGCAAAGCCTGCCAGGGCAGGTTACCCAGCACAAGGTGGGCAGAAGAAGACAAGTGCTGCTGTGAGGTGGGTCCTTACCTCCCCTTTGAGGAACAGCATAGGTCTTGTGGGGTTGCAAGCAGAAGAAAGCTTTCACTGCTTGGCATGTACCTGCAACTTGATCATTCCCAGTTTCCTCCGGGAAAAAGCACCAGGGAAATCAGAGCATCCCACAAGCCACCTGTTTGATCTTAGCTGTCTTAATTTACTGAACAACTTGAAAACAAATGCTTTTTTGAATCTGGGGACAAATTCTCACAACTCTGTCATTAGAAACCATGTTACTGGAGAAAGAGATGGAATGATAGACACATATTTGAAGCTAATAACTCATCACCAAAGGACATTATCCATCAAAAGGTTACCTTCACCCTAAAAAAAGTAATAGATTCATACTGCTTTATTGCTATCAGTAGTTCTTTCTAGTATTTGAAAAGAATCATGAAAAACAGCCACAATATGAAATATTTACCCATTTTGTAATGGACTGGTTGAAGATACAGAGAGATGCAAACTCACATAAGCAACACTCTAATATTCAAAGAGAGGAAAATAAGAGCCAGAATTTCAATTACTGAAATCTGCACAAAAATTTTCTCCATTGCTAGCAGCCTGCTCTGTAACTCATCACAGCCGTACAAAGGAAAGATTTAAAGTGGGTATTTCTTACAACAGTTACCCTGTACTCCAAAATCAGCTTCTAAGAAAAAGTCACTGTCTCATAGAGAGTACAAATCAAAAACCTTTCACTGTAGATGTTCTTTCCAGTTAAACAGATGTGGGATATTTTCTTACATCTTTTCATAGTTGAAAGATCAGGTTTGATCAGGTTTTCTTTTTTTTTCTTTGGTTATGGTTCTAAAGAACTGTTAAGTTATACAGAACATCGCTCCCATTCTGAAACTGCCCAAACAGTGTGAGGCCCCATGAAAATTTCAGGGGTTTGTCCTCTCAGGATAAGGAACCAAAGGTGTGTGTCTATAAATACATGCCTACATACACATGTATATGTCTATATAGATGTGTATTTAAATCAAACCCAATGTTTGGTTAGCCAAAGCAAAGTCATCCTTAAGTACACTTTAGCTAAGAGATCATATGCCTAACAGAATTCATATAATTTTGGAGGATTTGGGCAAGACCAGAGGCACAAATACATGGAAATATACTTAGGACTGCATTCTCTTCTTTGCTTAGCAGCATGGCAAAATAGCGGGAATCATAATGAGCATTCTGATTTATCATGTTGAAATAAATTCAGTCTCTCCAAGAAAAATAATTACATTTTGCATCTAACTTTCTTCGGTACATAACTGCACTGAAGCTTAGGACAACCACCAGAAGATCACAATGAGATTCACCGGGTACACCGTGAGAAACTTGGTTCCTCAAGCCACAGTAGCTGCACTCAAATATGACCATAAAAAGAAGCGAACTGTAAAACAGTTCAGTTTCAGACTTGGGCTAAAGCCCAGGCAAGATTTTAAATCTTAAAACAAAATCTTAAAAACCATTACTGAGAAAAAAAAAAACTGAATACAGCCTCAGTTTGCACTTTTTAAAAGGATAAGAATAAAGTTCAGATCAGCGTAGAAGAGAGCTACAAGAATGAGAGGAGGACTGCAGAAAATGCCTTCAGATGAGAGTCTGCATTCAAATCACTTTGCTGATGAAAAAGGGAAACCAGGAGGTGGCTGCAGCTCACATGTACCTTCATGGGGGTGGGGACGGGACGGGAGGGGAGAAAAGTACTAAAAGCTCTCTCTGACTTAGCATTCAACATAATAAAAGCAGTGGAAAGTGAAAGCCGAAACATCTTAATTATAAACTTGGATAAAAAAAAAAAAAAAAAAAAGGAGGATAATTAGGCTCTGAAGCTCCACACCCACAGAACTCAACTTATTTTGATGTTTTTCCCTTCTAGAAGATTGCTTCAGCCAAACATCTTTAGGCTTTTGCCAAGCACGAGTATTTAGGCTCAATTTAAGAATAACTACATGCAAGTTACTGCCTTATGATTCATATGCAGGTCAGATCAGATGCTCCCATGGCCCTCTAGCTTTAGTTCTATAAAATCTTCAGAAATAGCAATATTTAAATTATTAAGCACAAATCCCAGTGGCACAACTGCAAACTTTCTAAAATTGCACCAAACTTTGCTGCAATTCTTCACAAAGAGCTACATTTTAAGACGTGGTCAGAATACATTATGCAAGACAAACACAGAAAAGGATGAGACTAAATCTTTCACAGCAAAATTTTAACAAAACAAAAAAAGAAGTTTCTTCAACTCAACTGAGTCTATTGAGATAGAGACAAGCACCACAAGAGGATGAAGGATGGGTGCTGCAGCAACTAACTTCTGATGTGTAGCAACACGCATCAAAGCTTCTGCCGTGACACAAAAAGGAAAAACCAACACAGTTGCTGCTTTTATAACAGCGCATGTGGGCTGCGGCACAGGAAGCA